AGGGAAAAGTCCCCGCCCGGGGGGGAAGGACATAAGTGTTTTACTTTGAGGATTGGGGATCCGGGTTTTCCCAGTGTTCAAAAAAATGTCTTGCCCCCATGCTGGAAATTTTTGGGGACTATGGTAGGGGGCCAGAATGACAGAAACCCACTACAAAAAATTGAGAGAAAAAGTTTTTTCAATATTTATAGGAGTGGGATCGTATTCAAAAGGAGAGAAAGATCTTTGAGTTGGGTTCATTTTGGACGTAAAGATGGGGACCCTTCTTGAGGGGTTTGAAATGAAATATCTCTGCCAACTTAAAGCAGGGCGCTTTGGAAAAATACTATGGTCAAAAAGGGGTGGGGCAGAAAAGAATTTGGTTTTAAAAGTAAAGAATTTAGCCCTTTTGTGTGGTTCCCGGATAAACTGAGCGTGGAGAGGGGAACGGTCAAAGTGTCGGTGTTTCCAAATTTGGAATGGGAAGGTAACAAACCGGAGCTTTCTTCAGGGATTGACGTTTGGGTTTAGGATTTGGGCCCGGGTTTTTGGTCCGGCTTTGGAAAATGGGGGGCGATTCAAAAAATTGCCTTTACCGTAGAGGGGAACCCGGAAAGCTAGTAAAAGGGGAGAGGGGGAAGTTCGGGAAAAATCAAAGGGGAGTCGTCAAAGCCCGGTACCTGAAGGGGTGGGAGAAACAGCCCCAGCAAGAGGTCCCAGGGGCATCAGGAGTGTCCGAAGAGTGGTCTAAACACAAGGCAGGGGGTTCAGAAGGGGTGCGGTTTCAAAAAGGGGGGCCCGGGGTAGTGGTTTCATGGGATGGGCTCCCCCATGGTTAGGTTACTCCTTTGCTTTTTTTTTTTTAATGAAAAAAAAAAAAAAGAAGAAAAAAAAATAAAAAAAAAAAAAGAATAAAAAAAAGGGGGGGGGGAGCGGGGAGGGAATATTTCCCCAGGGGGAAATTTAAAAGGGGGCCGGAAAATTTTCCCCCCCAGCCCCCAAGGGACTCGACAGCAAATTTTACGCAAAAGGGGCAGCAGGGGAACCCGTGCCATCCCCTTTACCCTTCATGCCAGTAAAACCACCCCAACCCGGGTTAGCAACCCCCCCATCTGCCGAGCTCCCTCGGGGGGAAAAAGGGAGGGGGGCCCCGGGATATCCGCCAAAAAGAAACCCTCCTTTCACCCAACCCCCCCCGGAAATCCAAAAGGGGTGGCTTCCAAAAGATAAAACCCGTCCCCCAAAAAAAACCCCAAAAAGTTTACTCCGGGGATAGGGGAGAGGGATCGGGCTCCTAAAAAATCCAATTCCACGGGCAAAACTTCGCCCCCGCCAAAAAAACCTAAAAGGGAAAGGGATGGGACCCGGTGTCCTTTCCCCTACCTGGGAAACTAGGCCCCAGTGGGAAAAAAAATCACGAAGGCAAAAAAGGGGGAAAGGGGCAAAAAGGGAGGGGTGAGGAGGAGGAGGAGGAAGGGAAAAAAGGGGGGAGGGGAATAGGGGAGGGGAAAAAAGGGAAATGGGGGGTAATTGGGGTTCGGTTTGAGGAAAAAGCCCGCAGGGCAATTCCCAAAACCAAGAGCCCCCTTCACCACGCCAAGGAGCCCCCCTTAAAGAGGCCGGGAAAAATGTAAAAAACACAGTGTTTTTTTAGTGTCAGGAATTTTGCCCCTTGTTTATTCTGGCCCTATTTTTGAAACTGGAATATTTTTTAATTTTGTGGAATTTGGGCCCAAAATTTCCCAATTTTTTTGATCCTTCATTGGATAGTTGATTTGATGGTTTCCCCTGTACTTGGGCGATGAAACATTTTAGTACGAAATACTAGAATTTTTGGTCAACTGGAACAATGTAATTTGGGCCCCAAAAAAAGGCAAAAATTGCTGATGCAAAAAATTTATGATTTTTTGTAATTTCATCAGGGTTTTTCCCATTTAAAATTTTGTATTTGTTTTTTACCTTCAGAAAAAAATTTTCTCCATTTCATTAAAAAAATTTTTTTTTTTTTTTAAAATTTTTAAATGCTTTGGGGGATAGTTCGGGTTTGGGGGTCTGGACCCTCAAGGGGTTAAAGAATTGTGCTAATAATTTAGAGCTGCAAAAAGGGGTGTATTATGTTGATGTTTTAAATGGAGGATTAAAGATTCGTGGATTTTAGTCTGCAAGTTTGGTGATGAAAATAGATCAGTGGAACCTCAAATTTTAAAAATTAATCCATTCCCAAAAAAACTAGTTTTAAAAATTTAAAAAATTCCCGAAAAATTTTAAGCATTGTTTTTTTTCCCTAAGAAAAAAAATGGAAATACAATTTATTCCCTTCCAGGAAACCCAAAAAAAATTCACAAAAAACAAAAAATTATTTTTTAGAAAATTAATTCAGTTTTTACCCTACAACAAAGGCTATAGTCTTTTAAATTTTGGTTTTAGTAATATAAAATTAAAATTTTTACTTTCCTTTATTGAAGATTGGGGGTTTGGGATCTGGAAGATAGGGAAGGGGGAAGAGGGGAGGGGGGTTGGGGGTTTTTTTTTTGGAAGGAGAATCCCCCTCCAAAAGAGGACTTCCGGGATCAAAGCCCTTTTCTTTGGGGTTTCTTCCCTTCTTGTATTTTTAAAGCCATAGGACCCCCCTTAAAAAAAATAACTTTTCTACATTTCCTTTTTTTTCCCACAAAAAAAATGTTTCCCCAGTTCTCTCACAAAAAAAATGTCCACAATCGTTGTCCCCCAACTCCACGCTTCACAAGATAATGTCCCGTGTCCCTTTTTTTGTCTCACAAAAATTTTAACGTTGTCTGTTTTCACAAAAATAAATGTCCACGTCCTCTGGGTTTTCATCCCGGCAAGCTCGACAGTCTCACCTCCAATTTCATTACTTCTGTTTTATTTCCTTCCCTTTACATCTATGGTGTTTTTCACTTTCTTTACCCCCGGGGTACCGTAGCAAGTTTTTTTGGGTCCAAAGGCAGCTTATTTTACAGCCCCCCCAAGCACTTTAAAAACAATTAAAATAATCTTTTAAAAAAGTTGGGGAAAAAGAGATGCAGGTTTTGTTTTTTCATCAAAATAAACCCCAAACTAGAGGGTCCCCGCCGCCTGGTTGGGGGAAGCGACAGAGCGGGGGCCAAATGACAGGTCCTGTACCCCGGGGGTCAAAAAAAAAGGGGCGCGTTCGATTTTAAAAGGGGACCCCGTTTTTTCCGAAAAAAAAGGTTTTTTTTTTTGGAAAGGGTTTGGTATGTGATAGTTCTTTTTTTAGGTTTCCCCCTGTAATTAGGGTGGTAATTCCTTAAAAACATCAATTGTTCCCAAATTTTTGAATTTAAAACGCTAAAATTTTCTTGGACATAAACAAGGTCTTCCCAAAAAGATTTCCCTTGCCATTTGTAAGTTACTTTAGTACCCCAAACCCTAGCTTGACAGTAGGCCTATTATTCATTGTTTTTATTCCCCTTTTTACTAGTATTTTTTGTAAAAGCTTGAAAAAAAGCTCCGAAGGGGCAAAATTTTATCGGAGTTTAAAAAATCTTGAGGTGCCGTTTTTTTTTACCCATTTTGTTGGTAATTCCCCCAAAATTATTTAAAAGGAATTTTTTAGAAGTTTCTTGGGAAAAATTCACATTTCAAAATCAGTGGAAAACCCCCCTTATCGTACCCCAAAGGACCCAAATTTTGTAAGTGTATTTTTTGTAAGTGCATTTGTTTGTGTATGTTTGGGGGGGGCTGAAATGGGAATAATCTACTTCCCCAATATTCCCTTTTGGGGGCAAATTTTTGGTCCCGTACTGGCACCCGAACATACTTTTGGAATGAAAAAAAAAACCGGGTTAAAAAGGGGGTCCCTGTAATAAAAAAAAATTGAATTTGGATATTTTCTTTTGGATTTACAAATTTTTTTCCTTTCGAATTTTTTTCACCAAAAGTTCCAAGGTTTTTTGGTTATTTGGCAGTGGAAAAGGTGATAGGTTTATAAATTATATTTTAATTATTTTTCAGTGTTTTTTTCAATGTTCTTTTTTCAGTTTCCCTTTGGGGGTTTTAAAAAAAAATTATAGGACATAATATTTAAACTGGAGAAATCTCTGGAAAGGGAAAACAAAAGGGCCCCCCCCCCCCCCCAAACCCTCCAGGGTTTTACTTCTACCTTCCCCTTGCAAAGGTGTGAAAAAAAAGTTATGCCCCCTAGGGGCATTCTTAAGTGGGAAAAGTTTGGTAGGTATGTGGGGGAAATTTGGGAACCCTTCAGGTATTCTCTGTCATGGGTGTGGATGGGGGAGTAAGGTTTGGGAGACGGCCCCTGTTCAGAGAGGGGACTACTAGCTAGGGGTTTTAAAAGGGGGTACTAGGTTTGCGACAACCCTCCAAAGGGTTTCTATCCCCCTTTTTATGGGAGAAAGGGGGACCTAGTAAGATGTCTAGTACAGTGGACCCTGGTTAAAGATATTTTTTCATTCCCAAAATATGTTTCAGGTGCCCGTATGAACCCAAAATTTTTTCCCCTAAGGTTTTTGTGAAATTGATTAGTCCAATTTTTAGGGCCCCAAAACATACACGTACAAACGCACTTGCCTTAAATTTATCGCATTGGGGGTGTTTGTTAAGCGGGGGGGGGCCACTGTACTACCCCCAATTTGTGTGAAGAAAAGCTAGTTGGTTGGTTGGCAGCAAAAAAAGAGTGACTTTTGTCTTGTGATTGTATGACAGTCCCTTTAAATTTTTCTTTTTTAAAAGTTAGCCATTTTAAAGGTTTTTTTTTTTTTTTTTACTTTTGGACCCGTCTTGCCTTTGGGGGCGATTGGGGGGAACCCTTAAGAAATATTTGTTTAGGGTAAACTACTTTTGTAGTTTGGAAAAGGGGGGGGGCAAACCCTTGACTGTGAGGAAAAAGCTGGGGAGGGTCAGTTGAAAATTTGTGTTAGGATTTAAAAAGTGGGTTATGTGCTGATATTGAAATAAGACCTAATTTTTTTGGACTCAAAAAGTGTTTTTAGTTTTTTATTTTTTCTATTAACCCCCTTTAGGGGTCAGTGCCATAGTTCTATGGTTTTAACTCTGGGTCAGTTTCTTTTAAAAACCCATACCATGAGGGTTGGCTCATTAAAATTTGCGGAGTGGTAAAATTTTGGGGGGTTTGATATGAAAGAATTTACCCTTTTGTGGACCCTATAAAAAAAAATGCTGCAGCATGCGTCCCCTTTAAAAAAATGCTCTTTGTTTTATTTCAAAAAGGGGCCCAAATTTGCGGGGTATTTTTGTATTTTTATGGTTGTAGCCACTGTTTCTTTGGGGCAGGGAAAGGAAGGGTTAATTAAGAAATAGAAAAATTTTTATTTGTTTGAGAATGAAAATGTGAAATTGAGTCACAGTAGCGGAATATTCGTTTTTGCCCATTTAGGTAAAAAAACGTGCAACTAGTCCAAAAAGTGTCCACTGGTCAAATTTTTATGCGTTCATGAAAAGTGCTTTATGTTTTTATAATTTCCCGTAAATTTTTTTTTTTTTTTTTTTTAAATTTTAATTTTTTTTACAGCCCTGGAACTAAAATAATGAAAAAGGGAAAAATTATTTTGTGCCAAAAAATGCCCCGTTGTTTTGTTTGGACCCCATTTTGAAAAATTTTTATTTGGGTAAATTACCAAATTTCATCAATTTTATTGGGTAGTTGAAATTGTTGAAATTTAGCAGTTCAGTCGATTTTTAAAATTTGGAAAAACTTTCTAGCAAAAATTAAAGGGAAGTTTTTGGGTTTACTGGAACAATGTAAATTTGGGTAAAATAGGATTGGACAAAAAACACTGAACAGTAAAATTTGGATGGCGTAATTTTACCAATTTTTTCCCTTTTAAAAATTTTGTACTTTGTTTTTATTTCAGAAAAAAGTTTTTTTCCATTTCGTTTAAAAAATTTTGAAAAATTTTTTGAAAAGGGGTTTAAAAACTTCAATAGTGTATGTGTAGGGAAAAAAGGTTCAATTTGTACCCCAAAAAAGTTCATGTGCAAATTTCAAATAAAATTTTTAATTTTTAGTAACCAATTTGTGCTGATAAACACTTTACTATTAATAAATGTAAAATGTTACCCCTGGGGGGCCCCCAGTGGGCTTAACCTTTTTTTTTTGATTACCCACTTTGGGGTTTTAAAAAAGCACCCCAAAGAATGGGGAAATAATCAGGCCCTTTATTCAAGGAAAGGGGAAAATCCAAATTTCCCGGGGGGAAGAGCCCCCATGGTATTAAGGGGGCAGGAAAAAGGGGGAATTGTGCAGTGAGGGGGGGAAGGGGAAATTTTAAAAAGGGAAAATTTTGATAGGAAATTTTTAGTTTATGGAGGTTTTGCACTAAAACCCGTAGGGGGTCATGCAAACACTAGGAAATTTAGGCAACCTTTTGTTTGATCCCAAAGGGGGGGATCGGTCTAATTTTTTGTATCAAGAGCCCAAGGTATATTATTATTATAATCCCAAAAGAAGCGGGTTACCAAAGGGCTATACAGCCGCCCCCAAAGGTTTTAGTTTGGGGGGAGGTAGGAAATTTTTGTTTTTAAAAGGGGAGTGCTGAAACCCGGGGATGGTTTTGCTCATATTCCCCTTTAAAAAGCACGGGTTTTACAATATCAAGGCATCTCTCATTTTTTTAAAAGGGGGGAGAATAAAGGGAATTTTGTAGGGTTTTTTGAATATAATTTTAAAAAAATAAATTTTTTTTTTTTGTTAAATTTGGGTTTTCAGTAATTAAATTTTTCAGGAGGGTGTTTTTTTGGTTATTTGGGGACTCCCCAAAATTCCAAAAATACCCGAGGGAAACTAGCGCAGAGGTTGGGAGGGGGCGCAAAAGGCCCAGATTGTGCGTTTCTCTTTCCAGAATGTTCGGGCTTGATGACCCCCAGAAAAGTTCATTCCTCACGTGTCAATTTTTACAAAAGGTCGGTTGACAAAAATAAAAGGGGATTGGTTTTACAAATTGGGGGGAAAGGGGTTTTAAAAACGTGCTAAATTTAAAGGGCGAGATAGTTTATTGCCAAGCTCCTAAATTTCTGAAAAAGGGAAATTTTTAACAGTACAAAGGCAAAGTAAAAACAAAGGGGGGCTGAAACTGGTCAAATCCCCTACTCCCTTTCAGAAATGCTATTTAAAAAAAATTATTTCTAAAATTTTCTCGTTGTATTAGTTAAGTATTTTATAAAAAAAAGGGGTTTTCCCGCTAGAGCTTAAATATATGTTAGCTTAAATATTGTTAAATTTTGTAATTTCAATATATTTGAAATATCTTGCAAGAATGGGGAAATTTTTTGCAAAAAAACTTCAAGTGAAAAGTCCCTTACTTGAAATACATCGAAATATATTTTTTAAAATTTCAAAATATAGAAAAAATGTTTCGAGTTGTAAAATATATTTAAGGGGTGAAATATTCGAATTTTAAAAAATATTTGAGGGGTTAAATTTTTTTTTTAGGGTAATTGAAAATTTTAAATAATTTTTTAAAAAAAAAATAATTAAAAAAATTTTGAGGAAAATTTCTTTTAAAATTTTCTCCCGGAAAATTTTTTAAATCAAAAATTTTATATTTTCCCAAAAATAAAAAAACCCTGTAACCCCCTTTTCGACATTAAAACCCTTTTTAATTTTTATTAAAAAAATTTTTTTTTTATTTTCATAAATAAAATTAACTTTTAATTTTCCCAGGGCCTTCCCTATCTCCCCCAAAAACCAATTTAAAAATTATGTTCCAGGCCCATTTTGTTAATTCGTTTGTGGAAAAGTTTGGGGGTCCGAAAGAAAAAAAACTTTTACACAAAATTTTTTAAAAGGAAACCCCCCATTTCCTTTTTCCCCCCAATCCGAAAACCCGAAAAAAACCTAACATTCTCCTTAAAACCTTAATTTTATTCTGGATATTTTAATTTCGAAAATGAAAAAGGAAAAAAGGGAAAATCGGGTTTTTATAGCCCCTTCTTACCGGGCCGCTTTTTTGTACACGTTAGGCATTTTAAACCTTTTCCCCCATTTTTGACAACACATTGGGTTCTTTTTAGGGGCCTAATACCCCGGAAAATTGGCCGCTATCAATTTGCAAAAAGGTTCGGTTTTGAACCTTGGGGGAAAAGGTGGTGTTTCCCCCCCTTTACTTTTCCCCCCCCTGGATTTTAAAGGGGGCCCTTTTGCCAAAAACAGCTTGGGTTTTTTGTATAGGTTTTCCCGGTATTGGGGTGGGAAATTTTCCAGGTTTTTGCCTTTTTTTAAAAATGGAAAGTTGTGGCCGGTTAAAAAATGGATTTTTTTTCCCCTTTTGGGGTTGGGCTTCTTTTTCCAATTTTGATTCCCCCTTGAATTAAGGGGAAAATGTTTGTTTAACAAGGGTTTTGGGTTCATTTTTTCAAGGTTTTCGGTTGGCAATCCTTTTTCAAAGAAGGCCTTTTCCCCTCTTTTTTTCTTTGGGGAAAAATTGGATGTTTTTAAATTCCTGCAAAAACGTTTTCCCGTCATGTTGGGGTTTTTGGGTTTTTCCCAAGGTAAAAAAAAGTTTGGTTAGATTTTTAGGTTTTTGTCAAAATTTTTTTAAAACCCGTTCAACGTTGCTTCCCGGGAAAACAAATGTTTCTTTGGAAGGGGTTTTTTTCAAAAATTTACTTTGGGGGGTCCCCGGGTGAAAAAGGTTTGGGGTTTTTTAATTTCCTCAAACCCAAAAAGTTTTGAAAAGGTTGGGGAAAAATTTGGGGGAATAAAGGTTAATTTTATTATTCTTAAAACCCCGCGGAAATGGGAAAACTTGTAAGGGCTTGGAAAAGGCCAATAAACAAAAACCCCCCTTTATGTTCGGTTTTGTTTGGTTAGGAAGGAAAGGAATGCTTTTGGTGGTTTTTGATTTAAAAGGGTTTTCCCCCGGGCCCCTATTGGTCGTAAAAGGGTTGGGGGGCCTTTATGTTAAAATTTAATAGGTAAATTCCAAGGTTTTTAATGTGTTATTCACGTTCGTTTTAAAAATTTTTCCGGGTAATTTTCGATTATTAAAAGTACCCCCCAAATTTTGTAAACCTTTTAACGGGGTTGTTATTACCTTTTGGTTCCAGGACTACAAAATAAATTTGGGGAAATTTGCCAAGGGGGGGCCCCCCCATTTTGGGGGGGGCCAAAATGTTTTTACTTCTCCAAAAACCCAAAAACAGTCCCCCATATGAACCCAAAAAGGGTTTGGAACAAACTCAAAAATCCGGTTGGATTCCCAAACTCTGAAAAAATTTTAATTTACCCTGGGGGGGAAAATTTATTTTTAAAGGCTTACCAAAGGGGGAAAATTTTTTAAAAGGCAACCAAAAATCAAAATTAACTTTTTCCCCTTCCCGGGTCAAAATTCCCGGGGGATTAAGGCCTTTTTTTAACCCCGAAAATGCGTTTAAAAAGGTGGCCTAAATTATTGTTACCATTTTCCCCCTTTCAATTTTAAGGATCAGGAAATCGCCAAAAAATTAGGGGCCAAATCGTTATCCCCGGGTTTCTTGTACTTGTTCGATGAAACATAATAGTAGCGAAATAGCTAAAAATTTGGTCAACTGGAACAATGTAATTGGCCTAAAATAGGCAGAATTGCTGATGCACAAACTTTATGATAGTGTAATTTCATCAGTTTTTCCATCAAATTTCGTATTTGTTTTATTACCTTCAGAAAAAGATTTTCTACCATTTCATAATCAATTTTCTTTTTTTTTTTAAATTCTTAAATGCTGTGGATAGTTCAGTTTGGGAGTCTGGACCCTCAAGGGGTTAAAGACTTGTGCTAATACTTCAGAGCTGACAAAAGTGTGTATTATGTTGATGTCTGAAATGGAGATTAATGATTCGTGGCATTTTAGTCTGCAAGTTCTGGTGATGAAACTAGATACAGTGGAACCTCAAATTTCAAACTTAATCCATTCCAAGAGCTAGTTTTAAATTCAAAAAGTCTGAAATTTGAAGCATTGTTTTTTCCATAAGAAATAATGGAAATACAATTAATCCGTTCCAGAAACCCAAAAAATATTCACAAAAACAAAAAATACATTTTATAGAGATTAATTACAGTTTTACATACAACAAATGCTATAGTCTTTAATTATGTATAGTAATATAAAATAACATTTTTACTTACCTTTATTGAAGATTGGTGATGGCATCTGGAAGATAGGGAGGAGGAGAGAGAGGGAGTTGGGGTTATTGTTTGGAAGGAGAATCCCCCTCCATGAGGACTTCCGGTATCAAAGCCCTCTCTGGGGTTGCTTCCCTTCTCTGTATTTTAATGCCACTAGGACCCCAGTCTCACAAAATAACTGTCTACAGTCCTTTGTTTCTCTCACAAAATAACTGTCCACAGTTCTCTCACAAAATAACTGTCCACAATCGTCTGTCTCACAACTCCACAGTCTCTCACAAGATAACTGTCCAGTCGTCTTTTCTGTCTCACAAAATTGTCAACAGTTGTCTGTCTCACAAAATAACTGTCCACAGTCCTCTGTACATCCTGGCAAGCTCGACAAGTCTCACTCCAATCTCATACTTCTGTATTATTTCCTTCTTCACATCTATGGTGTTTCTCACTTTCTTTACCACAGGGGTACCGCTAGCAAGTTTCTTTGGGTCCATGGCAGCTTATTTCACAGCCCCACAAGCACTAAACACAATTAAGTAATCGTAAAATGTGTGAATGAGATCGCAGGTTAGTGTTCACTCAAGCATAAACAAAGCTAGACTGCTCACAGCGCCTGCGTGGAGATGCAGACAGAGCGGGCCAGCTGACAGGTCCTGTACCCGGCGGTCCAAAAATAGGGGCGCGTTCGATAATAGGGACACAGTTTGTCCGAAAAAATGGTCTTATTTTCGAAACGTTCGGTATGTGATACGTTCGATTTTTGAGGTTCCACTGTACTTAGATGGTAATTCCTTAAATCATCAATTGTTCCCATTTTAGAATGAAAGCAGCTACATTGTCTTGGACATAGCACAGGTCTTCAAAATGATTAACCTTGCCATTACGTAAGTTACTTCTAGTACCACCACCACTAGCATGTGACAGTAGGCCTATTATTGCATTGTTTATATTCCTCTTTCACTAGTATTTTTTGTATTACTTGACAAAGCCCCTGAGGAAAAATGATCGGAGAAAAAAATATCTTGAGGTCCCCGTTTTTTTCCCTATTTGTTGGAAATTTCCCAAAAACATTTTTAAAAGGGATTTTTCAGAAGTTTTTGGAACTTCACATTCCAAAATACAGTGGACCCCCCATTAAACGTACCCCCCCATGCGCCCCAATTATTAAGTGTATTTATGTAATGCTTTGTCGTGTATGTTTGGGGGGTCTAAAATGGACAATTACTTACAATTTCCCTTAGGGGACAAATTGGGTCAGTACTGGCACCTGAACATACTTCTGGAATAAAAAAAAAAAGGGAAAACGGGGGTCCCTGTATAAAAAAAAATTTGAATTTGGATATTTTCTTTTGGTTTTACAAATTTTTTTCATTTCGAATTTTTACACCAAAAGTTCCAATTTTTTGGTTTATTTGGCAGGGAAAGGGATATTTTATAAATTATTTTTCACTTATTTTTCAGTTTTTTTATCAATGTACTTATCGACCCCTTTGGGTATATAAAAAAAATTATGGGCACATAATATTTTAATTTGGAGAAATCTCTGGAGGTATAAAATACCCCCCCCCCGAAACCACCCAGGGATGTACTCTACCTTCCCTTTTGCAGGTGTGAAAACAATTTATGCCCCCCTAGGTGCTTCTTAAGTGTGAAATTTTAGGTAGAGTATGTGGGGGGGTAAAGGAAACTTCAGGATTCTCTGTTGGGGTTTTTGGATGGGTATAGGTGGAGACCACTTTCAAAGGTACTACTAGCTTGATAAAAGGGGGTACTAGGTTTGCGGGACCCAAAAAAAGGTTTTTTGGGGGGGGGGGGGGGGGGGGGAAAAAACGATATTTTTTCTTTCCCAAAGTTGTTCAGGTCCCAGTATGACCGAATTTGTTCCCATAAGGAAATTTGTGAAGTAGTTAGTCCATTCAGACCCCAAACATACACGTAAAAACGCACTTGATAATTGATCGCATTGGGGGTATCGTTAAGCGGGGGTCCACTGTACTCCCATAATAGTGTAAAGTGCTGTGGTTGGTTTCGCAACCATCGAGTGACTAAAAGCTTTTGATTGTATACGTCCCTTTAAAATTTTACTTTTTTAAATGTTGCCTGAAAAGGTTTTTTTTTTTTTTTTACTTTTGGGGCCACGTCTGCCTTGGGTCGTTGCGGGAACCCTTAAGAAATATTTGTGGGTAGTACTCTGTAGTTTTTTGGAGAGGGGGGCAAACCCTAGACGTGAGGAATAGTGGTGAGGGGCAGTTAAAAAAGTGTTAGGATTTAAACAGTGCTTATGTGCGATATTGAAATAAGACCTAATTTGTACTCAAATAGGGTTTAGTGTTTATTTCTATTAACCCCTTGAGGTCATGCCTAGTTCTTGGTTTTTAACTCTGGGTCAGTCTGTGTAAAAAATATACCCTGAGCTTGGCTCATTCAGTAAATGTGAGTGGAAATTTGGGCCTAGATATGAAAGAATTTTCCTTTGTGTGTCCATATTAAAAAAAAAGTGCAATGGTCCCTTAAAAAAACTGGGTTTTCCTGTTTATTTCAAACGGCAACTTGCGGGGTATTTTTGTATTTTTTTTGGTTGTAGCCACTGTTTCTTTGACAGAAAGGAAGATTAATTTGAAATAGAAATTTTTATTGGGTTTTAGAATGAAAATGTGAAATTGAGTCACAGTCGGAAATTTTTGCGATTAGGTAAACAAACGTGCAATGGCCAAAAGTGTCCACTGGTCAAAATTAATATGCGTTCATGAAAGTGCTGATGTTATAAATTTCAGTAATTTTTTTTTTTTTTTTTTTAAATTTTAATTGTGTACAGCCTGGGGAAAATAACTAATAAAAAGGGAAAATTTTTATTTTGTGCCAGGGGAATCCCTGCGTTGTTTAGTTTGGACCCTATTTTAAAATTTGATTTTGGCTAAATTACCAGTTTCATCATTTTTTGGGTAGTTGAAATAGTTGATTTAGCTTCATCGAAAAAAGGGAAAAGCTACTCAAAATGGAAGTTTTGGTTGACGGGAACAATGAAATTGGTTTTAAAATTTGGACTTGGCAAATCACTGAACGGGAAAATTTTGGAGGGCGTAATTTTACCATTTTTCCATCAAATTTGTACTTTTTTTTTATTTCAAAAAAAAGTTTTTTCCTTTTCGTAAATATTTTAAAAAATCTTGAAGGGTTAAACTTCAATAGTTTTTAGGGAAATAAGGTTCAATTTTGTACTCAAAAAGTTCATGTGCACTTTCAAATAAATTTTTTTATTAGAACAATATCAATCACTATACTATTTAAAAAATGTAAGGTTTCCCCCCCCGGGGGCCAGTGGGCTTAACATTTATTTTTTATTCCCCCTGGGTTAAAAAGCACCCAAAGAAAGGGGGTAATCAGGCTTGTTCAAGGAAGGGAACTCCTTCCTTGGGTGAGAGCCCTTTTGGTTTTTAAGGGGGAGGAAAGGAGGAATTGTGCAGAGAGGGGGGAGGGAAAGTAAAAGGGAAATTTAATGATAGGATTATTAGTTTATGGAGGTAGACTAAAACCGTAGGGGGATGCAGCACTAGGAAATGAGGAACCTAGTTTTATCAAAGGGGGGATCGGTTAATTCTTTGTTAAGAGCCCCAAAGGGAATTTTTTTATTTAATCAAAAAAAAGCGCTAAACCAAAGGGTATACGCGCCCCCAAAGGTTTTTGGGGGTTGAGGTAGGAATATTTTGTAAGAGGGGATGCTGAAACCCGGGGATGGGGCTCATATTTCCCCTTTGGATAGCACTGCTTTTACAATATCAAAGGGTCTCTCATTAAAAGGGGGGAGAATAAGGTATTGTGTAGGGTTTTTTGGGAAAATAATTAAAAAAATAGGTTGTTTTTGTTTAAATTTGGTTTTCAGTAATTAAAATTTTTCAGGGGGTGTTGTTGGTTATTTTGGGGACTCCCAACATTCCAAAATACTGAGGAGTGCGCAGAGGTTGCAGGAGCAAGGCCTAGATTGTGCGTTTCTCTTTCCAGAATGTACGGACTTGATGACCCTAGAAAAGTTCATTCCTCACAGTGTCAAATTACAAGGCTCAGGTTGACAAAGATAAACGAGGGATAGGTTTTAACAAATTGGGAAAGTTGTCCTTGGTAAATACAGTGCTAAATTTATTGACGAGATAGTTTATTGCCAAGCTCCTAATTACATGAACAGAAGTTTTTAACAGTACAGGACAAAGTAAATCAAAGGATGCTGAAACTGGTCAAATCCCATACTCTTACAGAAATGCTATTTAAAAAAAGTTATACTAAAATCCTCTCAGTGTATTAGTTATGTATTTTATAACTAGGTGTTCCTGCTAGAGCTTAAATATATGTTAGCTTAAATATATGTAATTATGTAACTTTCAATATATTTGAAATATCTTGCAAGAAATGAAGTGTCTTGCAAGAAACTTCAAGTGAAATGTACTTCACTTGAAATACATCGAAATATATTTAAAGTGCAATATATAGAAATATGTTTCGAGTTGTCAAAATATATTTAGAGTGAAATATTCGATCAAAATATATTTTGAGCGAAATATATTTCGAGTGAAATATATTGAAGTATATTTCAAACTAAATATATCAAAATATATTTTGAGTGAAATATATTGAAATATATTTTGAGTGAAATACATTGATATTTTGCTCAAAATGTATTTTGATATATTTCAATATATTTTGCTCAAAATATTTCTATATTCACTCAAGATATATTTAAAGATACAGTGGACCCCCGCTTAACGATCACCTCCCAATGCGACCAATTATGTAAGTGTATTTATGTAAGTGCGTTTGTACGTGTATGTTTGGGGGTCTGAAATGGACTAATCTACTTTACAATATTCCTTATGGGAACAAATTCGGTCAGTACTGGCACCTGAACATACTTCTGGAATGAAAAAATATCGTTAACCGGAGGTCCATTGTATTTCGATATGAGGAAATGGTATGGTGATACCGACAAGATGTGGAAAAAGACTTATGTACAGTTCAGGACATTTATTAAAGGAAACATTTTGCCACGAGTGGCTTCTTCAGTCCTAATACAGAGAAAACTAAGAAAAACGCATATACATAGTGACAGGAGTCAGGTGAAGAGACGCGTGGGTAGAGGTGGTAGTAGTGGAACTAAGGAGGTGATTTTAGAGGGGGTCCTGCTGACATCATGTAACAGCAGTTCCCAAGATGGGTAATATCCTCTTGATTAGTAGTTTTGAAATGCTGTAACTACCGGATTTTTGCTTTATAGTGTTACTGACTGATTAGTGCAGCTTAAATGCATTTTCTCCATCTTAAGTTGTCTTCTTTAATCACTAATTTAGCTTCATTGAATTTCATGGTGTCCAACATCGTCCCTATGTTGAACACATGCGTTTCTGCGGTCATCATTTCTGCAAGCGTTGCGTTCTGCAATCCTAATGTCAAGAGATCCGGCTGTTTCCCCTACATATACTTTGTCACACCCCCCACATGGTATAGTGTAAATTCCTGCACTTGTGCCAGAATCATGCTTGGGTTTTTGTATCAGGTTCCTAAGAGTAGTTGAAGAGCTGGTAGATATTTTAGCCAGTTTTCTGTCAAACATTTTTTAAACAGTGGCAACGTTGCTGTCCGGTAAAACAATGTAACTGGAGGTTTTTCTTCAACTTGACTGGTGTTGGTCTTGCTGAGGATGCGTGTCGCAAGTTTCCTGCAGTCACGTATGAAGTGTAGGGGAAAATGTAGTGAACTAAAAGAGTTGATGTATGTGCATTCTTCAAGGAACTGCGGACTGGAAATTCTGTAGGCTCTCGGAAAGAAGCCAATAACTACCCCTCTTTTAGTTCGTGTCGTGGTGAGAGAAGAAATGTAGATCGTTCTTGTAGGTAGGTTTCCGGTAGACTTTAAAAAGTCTGTTTTCCCCTGTGCATAGAATGTCGAGAAAAGGCAATTGGTTGTCCTTCTCTAGTGTAAATTTAATAGTAGGTTCCAGAGTGTTGATGGTGTTGATGTCACGTACGTGTAGATTTTTGGGTACAATGACCAGAATATCAACGTACCGCATCCATGTAACTGAACGAGGGATGTTACTGAGGATCCATCTGGATTCCAGGTCCTCCATATATAAATTGGCAAGAACTGCACTAAGGGGGGATCCCATGGCTAGTCCAAAGAGTTGTTTGTACTTCGTCCTCAAACCCAAAACAGTTATAACGAACACAAAGTTCGACAAGGCTCACAAAATCTTGGTGGAGTACAGGTAACTCTGTATCATCGTTAATCACCCTGCGAAGATGATCAATGGCTTGATCAACTGGGACATTGATGAATAAGGCAATCACATCAAAACTTGCAAGCTTATCACTCGTGTCGAGATTCCTGATAGGATTAAGGAGGTCACTCGAATGCTTTAGGTGAGCCTGACTGATTGTACCCAGGAGTTTTGGCGCCTGGGTACAATCAGTCAGGCTCGCCTAAAGCATTCGGGTGACCTTAATCGTATCAGGGATCTCGACATGAGTGATAAGCTTGCAAGTTTTGACGTGACTGCCTTATTCACCAATGTCCCAGTTGATCAAGCCATTGATCTTCTTCGCAGGGTGATTAACGATGATAGTTACCTGTACCCTGCCAAGATTTTGTGAGCCTTGTTGAACTTTGTGTTCGTTATAACTGTTTTAGGTTTGAGGACAAGAAGTACAAACAACTCTTCGGACTAGCCATGGGATCCCCCCTTAGTGCAGTTCTTGCCAATTTATATATGGAGGACCTGGAATCCAGACGGATCCTCAGTAACATCCCTCGTTCAGTTACATGGATGCGGTACGTTGACATTTTGGTCATTGTACTCAAAAAATCCAGACGTACGTGACATCCTCAACACTCTGAAACCTATTAAATTTACACTAGAGGAGGAGGACAACCAATTGCCTTTTCTCGATGTTCTCCTACGCACAGGGGAGAACACTTTCTTTTAAAGTCTACCGGAAACCTACCTACAAGAACGATCTACATTCCTCTCCCCATGACTCAAGAACTAAGAGGGGTAGTTATTGGCTTCTTTCTGAGAGCCTACAGAATTTCCAGTCCGCAGTTCCTCGAAGAAGAATGCACATACATCAACTCTATTAGTTCACTACATTTTCCCCTACACTTCATACGTGACTGCAGGAAACGTGCGACACGCATCCTCAGCAAGGCCAACACCAGTCAAGTTGAAAAACCTCCAAGTTACGTTGTTTTATCGGTCAGCAACGTTGCCACTAATGTTTCAAAAATGTTTGACAGAAAACTGGCTAAAATATCTACCAGCTCTTCAACTATTAGGAACCTGATACAAAAACCCAAGCATGATTCTGGCACAAGTGCAGGAATTTACACTGTCACACACCCCACATGGTGAAGTATATGTAGGGGAAACAGCCGGATCTCTGGACATTAGGATTGCAGAACGCAACGCTTGCAAAAATGACTGCAGAAACGCATGTGTTCAACATAGGGACGATGTTGGACACCATGAAATTCAATGAAGCAAAATTAGTGATTTAAAGAAGACTTAAGACGGAGAAAATGCATTGAAGCTGCACTAATCAGTAACACTATAAAGCAAAAATCCGGTAGTTACAGTATTTCAAAATTTCTAATCAAGAGGATATTACCCATCCTGGGAACTGCTGTTAAATGTCAGCAGGACCATCTCTAAAATCACCACCTTAGTTCCACTACCACCTCTACCCACGTGTCTCTTCACCTGACTCCTGCCACTGTGTACATATGTATGCGTTTTTCTTAGTTTTCTCTATTAGGACTGAAGAAGCCACTCGTGCCAAAAAGTTTCCTTTAATAAATGTCCTGAACGGTACATAAGTGTCTTTTTCCACATCTTGTCGGTATCACCATACCATTTCCTCATATCGAAATATATTTTGAGAAACATTTCGAAACTAAATATATTTCGATATTTCAATCAAAATATCTTGAAATATACTTCGAGTGAAATGTATTTTGAGTAATATATTGAAATATATTTCAAGCGAAATATATTTTGAGCCAAATATATTTCGAGCGAAGTATATCGAAGTATATTTCGAGCGAAGTATATTTCGAGCGAAATATATCGCAGTATATTTCGAGCGAAGTATATTTTGAGCGAAATATATCGAAGTATATTTCGAGCGAAATATATCGAAGTATATTTCGAGTGAAGTATATCGAAGTATATTTCGAGTGAAGTATATTTCGAGCGAAATATATCTATTTCGAGTGAAATATATTTCGAGCGAAATATATCGAAGTATATTTCGAGCGAAATATATTTCGAGCGAAGTATATTTCGAGCGAAATATATCAAAGTATATTTCGAGCGAAGTATATCGAAGTATATTTCGAGCGAAGTATATCGAAGTATATTTCGAGCGAAATATATCGAAGTATATTTCGAGCGAAACATATCGAAGTATATTTCGAGCGAAACATATCGAAGTATATTTCGAGCGAAGTATATCGAAGTATATTTCGAGCGAAATATATCGAAGTATATTTCGAGCGAAATATATCGAAGTATATTTCGAGCGAAATATATCAAAGTATATTTCGAGCGAAATATATCGAAGTATATTTCGAGCGAAGTATATTTCGCTCGAAATATATCGAAGTATATTTTGAGCGAAATATATCGAAGTATATTTCGAGCGAAGTATATCGAAGTATATTTCGAGCGAAGTATATTTCGAGCGAAATATATCGAAGTATATTTCGAGCGAAATATATCGAAGTATATTTCGAGTGAAGTATATCGAAGTATATTTCGAGCGAAGTATATTTCGAGCGAAATATATCTATTTCGAGCGAAATATATCGAAGTATATTTCGAGCGAAATATATTTCGAGCGAAGTATATCGAAGTATATTTCGAGCGAAATATATCAAAGTATATTTCGAGCGAAGTATATCGAAGTATATTTCGAGCGAAATATATCGAAGTAGATTTCGAGCGAAGTATATCGAAGTATATTTCGAGCGAAGTATATTTCGAGCGAAATAAAATCGAAGTATATTCAAGCGAAATATATCAAAGTAATATTTCGAGCGAAATATATCGAAGTATATTTCGAGCGAAGTATATTTCGCTCGAAATATATCGA